GATTACCAGTCTCATCATGGGGAATACTACATCCAGCTGCCCAGCCACTCAACCAGGCCCAGCCAAGTTGACACACCAACTGAACTACCACAAGAATGAAGAAAAAGGATGGGAATCTCAGAGAAATGTGGGACATCATTATGCACACCAACATACATGTAATGGGAGAGGGAGAAGCAGAAAATATATTCAAAGAAATGATGCCTGAAAATTCCTCAAATTTATTGCAAGACATTAATTTATACATCCAGGAAGCTCAATGAATGTCAAGTAGGACAAACAGATCACATTCACATATATCACAGTAAAAATGGTGAAAGTCAAAGTCAAGGGAAAAATATTGAAAGCAGCAAGAGAAAAATGACTCATTACTTGCAAAACCCCCCAATAAGATAAACAATTGACTTCTCATAAGCAATGATAGAGTCCAGAAGCGAGAGGGACATAATATTCAAAGTGCTCAAAGGAATAAATCCACAGAGAAAACAAAGAGCACTGGTAAAGGTAATTATCTAATTTAAAAAGACAGTACAAAAGCCTATTTTTCCTTCCTTCTTTTAACTGATTTATAAAATCCTCTTTATAAAATAATATATACATAATGTACTGTTAGGCCTACAACATCAAAATGCAATATACATGTAACATTTTGTCAACACCACCACAAAGGAGCAAAGCTGTGCTGGGCTAAGGAAGTGACTACAGATAGTAAAGTAATGACTATAACAGTATGTTATTCGGCATGTAACATTAATAATTGTAATATGAATACCAATAATATCCTTAAAAAAAGGAGAAAAAGATATTAGAGCTATATTGCAGTAACATTTCTGTGTATCACTGGAATGAAGCTAGTGTAAATGTGAAACTTATTTTGATAAGTTAAGAAGTAACTTCCTGAAGAGGATAAATCCTAAAGCAACCCTAAAAAAAGAAAAAAAAAAAAAAAAAACCATTAAAGAAATTAAAATGCTACATTAGAAAATAATCATCTAGTGCAGAAGAAAAGAGTAAAGAAGGAACAGAGGAACAAAAAAGACATGAGACATATAGAAAAGAAAAAGACAAAGGGCAGACATAATTCCAACCATACAATAATAACATTAAATATGAACAGATGAAACAATCCAAACAAAAGGCAGAGCTTGTCAGACTGGATAAAAACATGATTCAGTGACATGGTGTCTGAAGAAGACACAGGATCCAAAGATACAAATAAACTGAAAGGAAAAGGATGAGAAAAGATCTAGAATACAAAGAGTAACCACAATAAAGCCACACTGGCTACAGTGACACTAGGCAAAATAGACTTTAAAATAAAAATGTTACTAGAGATAAAAAGGTTCATTTGATAATGATAAAAGGGTCAACCCATCAAGATGATGTAACAATTATAAACACATATGCAGAGCACCAAAATACATAAAGCAAAAAAAAAAGACAAAAAGGGAGAAACAGACATTTCAAAAATAACAGCTGAAGACTTCAGTATCCCATTTTCAATAATGAATAAAACAATGAGACAGAATATTGTGAAGGAAATAGAAGACTTAACACTAAAGCAACTCACCTTAACCCTTTCAAGATCAAATTATCTTCTGTTTTGAATTTTTGGTTGAAACCATGGTTTTCAGTAACAATAGAAGGCATTTTGAATGGAATGAAGAAATGAGGTGATATGGATTTTGATACAATTAGTGAGACACATATGTCCCAAAGGGGTCTCTGGTGCTGGAGTTGGTGGGATGAGGTCTGTGGTAGTTAAGGTTGTATGTCAACTTGGCTGGGCCTGGTTGAGTGGCTGAGCAGCTGGATGTAGTATTCCCTGTGATGAGACTGGTAATCAACTCCCTGGTGGAATCTACTGTGAGTAGCTGAGTAGCTGCCCTAGGGATGTGGTCTGCTTCCTGTATATAAGGAGAAGCCTTGGGAATGGTCTCTAGCCTATGGCATACTTGGACCCTGCATGTAGCCGTGCCATGCTCTGCTGACCTTGGGACTTTCAATGGAGTTGAATTAATGGCCTGCTGTGTGGTTTGATAACATCAGGACTGTGCCTTTTTACTTGTCAACCTTGGGCTTGTCAGCCTCAGCAGCCAGCAGCTGAGTGAAGAAAAGCCTCCAGCTTCAGTGGGCCAGGAGCAGGAGGCAGAGCTGAAGCCTAAGGTTGAGGGGCTTTCATCCAGCCCCTAGGGCCTGGCACTTTGAATTCGGACTTAAAGCCTCCAAACTATAAGAGAATAAACTCCTGTTTGTTCAAGCCATCCCATCTGTGGTATATTCTTGTTAGAGTGGTACTAGGTAAACAAAACAGGGTCCATCTGTTCAGATTCATACAATTATATAGGCCCCAAACAGATGGCAGCACACACTACAACTAGGATAGCAGCTTCCCACTAAACCCGAGGTGTATACTATAGGTGGGCACTATATGTCTCATGGGTCACAAAAGGGTTAAGAGACGTATCTATAAAGCACTCTACCCAACAACAGAGTATACATTCTTTTCAAAAGCACATGGAATATTCTCTATGATAGATCATATGCTAGGTCATAAAACAAACCTCAGTGTACATTTTAAAGGGTGGAGATAACACAGAGTATGTTCCCTAACCATAATCGGATGAAATCAGAAATCAACAGCAGAAAAAATGGGGAAACTTGCAAATATGTGAAAATTAAACAACACACTCCTAAACAACCAATGGTTCAAAGAAGAAATAAAAATAGAAATCAGAAAATACTTTGAAATGAATTAAAATGAAAAAATTGGCTGGCTGTTAGCTAGACTGACTAAGAAATAAGACAAAAGGCTCAAGTTACTAGAATAAGAAATGAAAAACTGGACATTACAAGCAACCAGACACAAATCTGTTGTTAGCTGCTTCTGAGTTGGCCTCTGACTCACGTGACCCCAAGTGTTACAGAGCAGAACCGCTCCGCAGGGATTTCTTGGCTGTAGTCTTCACAGAAGCAGTTTATGAAGTCAATGCTGTTATGACTTTGACTCACAGCGACCCTGTGTACACAGAACGAAACACTGCCCCGCCCTGCGCCATCTGACAGTCCCTGCTAGACCTGAGCCCATCGTTGCAGCCACTGTGTCAGTCCATCTCGGTGAGGGCCTTCCCCTTTTTCACTGACCCTCCACTTTACCAAGCATGACATCTTTCTCCAGGGAATGGTCCCTTCTGACAACATGACCAAAGTGGGTGAGACGAAGTCTGGCCATTCTCGCTTCTAAGGAGCATTCCAGCTTCACTTCTTCCAGGACAGATTTGTTCATTCTTCTGACAGGCCATGGTACTTTCAGTACTCAACACCACCACAATTCAAAGGCATCAACTCTTCTTCAGTCTTCCTTATTCACTGTCCAGCTTTCGTATGCATACGTGGTTACTGAAAATACCATGGCTTGAGTCAGGCGCACCTTAGTCCTTAACACTTTAAAGAGGTATTTGGCAGCAGATTTGCTCAGTGCAATATGACGCTTGATCCCATGAGTGTTGGTTGTGGACACAAGTAAAATGAAATCCTTGACAACTTCAGTCTTTTCTCCATTTTTTGTGATGTTGCTTATTGTTCTAGTTGTGAGGATTTTTGTTTTCTTTATGTTGAGGTGTAACCCATACTGAAGACTGTAGTCTTTGATCTTCATCAATAAATGCCTCAAGTCATCTTCACTTTCAGCAAGCAAGGTTGTGTCATCTGCATATCACAGGTTGTTAATGAGTCTTCCTCCAATCCTGATGCCACATTCTTTTTCATATAGTCCAGCTTCTCATATTATTTGCTTAGCATACAGATTGAATAAGTATGGTGAAAGGATACAGTCCTGATACACACCCTTCCTGATATTAAACCATGCAGTATTCCCTTGTTCTGTTTGAACAACAGCCTCTTGGTCTATGTACAGGTTCCTCACGAGCACAATTAAGTGTGCTGGAATTCCCATTCTTTGCAATGTTATCCACAATTTGTTATGATCCACACAGTTGAATGCCTTTGCATAGTCTTTAAAACACAGGTAAACATCTTTCAGGTATTCTTTGCTTTCAGCCAAGATCTACCTGACATCAGCAATGATATCCTTCCTTCAACGTACTCTTCTGAATCCAGCTTGAATTTCTGGAAGTTTCCTGTCAATACACTGCTGCAACTGTCTTCAGCAAAATTTTACTTACATGTGATAGTAATGATATTGTTCAATTATTTCCATGTTCTCTTGCATCACCTTTTTTGCGGCACAAATATGGATCTCTTCCAGTCAGTTGGCCAGTTAGCTATTTTTCAAGTTTTTTGGCATAGACTCCAGCACTACATCTGTTTGCTGAAACATAATTCCTGGAGTCTTGTTTTTCACCAGTTCCTTCAGTGCAGGTTTGACTTCTTCCTTCAATACCTTTGGTTCTTGATCATATGCTACCTCCTGAAATGGCTGAACGTTGACCAATTCTTTTTGGTACAGTGACTCTGTATACTCCTTCCATCTTCTTTTGATGCTTCCTGCATTGTTCAATGTTTTGCCGTAGAATCCTTCAACACTGTATCGAAGGATCAAAGCTTGAATTTTTTCTTCAGCTCTTTCAGCTTGAGAAATGCCAAGCATGTTCTTCCCTTTTGGTTTTCTAACTCCAGGTCTTTGCACATTTCAACAATTTACATGAGTGTTTATAGCAGTTTTAATCATAATAGCCCCAAACTGGAATGAATCCAAATGCCCATTAACAAGTAGGTGAATAAACAAATTGCACTATATCTGTACAATAGAGTAATAGTGATAGAAAGAAATGGGTGAATCTCAAAGTAATCAGGATGATGAATAAAGCTAGAATATAAAATGAGACATACTGTGGTTCCAGTCATATAACTAGAAAATGCAAAGCAATCTATAGGGACAAAAGCTGATCAGTAGTTGTCAATGCAGAGTGCACCCAAAGCAAACCTACCACTTTTGAGTCAAGTCTGACTCATAGCTACGCTACAGGGCTGAGTAGAACTGCCCTGCAGGGTTTCAAAGGTGTAAATCTTTATGGAAGCCATCTGCCACATCTTTTTCCCATGGAGTAGCTGGTGGGTTTGAACCAAGGAACTTTCAGTTACCAGCCAAGTGCTTTAACCACTGTGCCAGCAGGTCTCCTTCTGAGTGCATCAGTATATAAATATCTCTCACCCCATCTCCCATAACAGCTACTAACAGACCTAAGTAAAGGATGTGCCTTAGGAGGAAATGATTGTCCTCTAAGGAAACCCAGAATTCTGTTAAACCATCTTAGTGGGTGTGGTAAAGGAGGAAGGGCTGTTCCCTGGTGCCAGTAATTACAGAAATGCCTGAACAGGGGCAATAAATGATGCCCATTGCCTAGAGGGGATCTTCTGCCTTTATAACACCTTTTTACCTTTTATTGCCCCCTTTTATTACTCCTTCCCCTACCTGTTCTCTGTACATGCTATCTGGCATGTAGACATGGCCATCTGATGTATATTTAATCTCAACAGAGAGGAACTCAGGAGTTCTCTTCCCAAGACGCCAACTGGGGTTTACTGAGATGTGATCTAACATCACTCTGAGACAGAAGCTTGACTTCAGAAACCCTCAGAGGCTGTGATGGATGCTGTTCTACTCATCCCTGTCCTGTTTATTCTGAGTAATAAAAGCCTGTTGGCCTCACCATCAGAAAAGTGTCTGGTCTACGTTCCGCTGCAAATGGTCTTCACCTAAAACTTACAGTGACCATGCAGTCAGCTTATCAAAGGGTATACTTTTTAAGTATATGCAGTCATTGTGTGTCAATTACAGTTTATTAAAGCTATTTTAACTTACAGAACTTCCAGTGGGTACCTTTTGTTACGTAAATTATATACCTCCATAAGTGTGATTAAGACAAGACACCTATTCTATGACTCAGCAGTTCCACTGCTGTCCGTTTCCAAGAGAAATGCAAACTTATGAATTCAACAATAATTGTACAATCCTAGCAACACCAGCTGCATAATCTGGTTTGGGAACACAGATGATGTGATCTCAGGGCCTCTGCATTTGCTGTTTACTCTGCTTCAAATGCTCCTCCCCAGTCCTTGCATGACCTGGGCCCTTACTACATATCTCTGTTTGAAGGCCAGCACCTCAGGATGGCGTTTCTGGACTTTATCTAAATCAGCCCTGACAACCTCGCAACATCCTGTCCCCTTAGCCTGCTTGTTTCTTTCCACAACATGTATCACTACCTGATACTATATTATCTGTTTACTATATGTCTCCTTTACTACAATATCAACAGCTCCGTGACAGCAGGAACCTGTATCAATAGAGCCTTGCCTCTAGAACAGTGTCTGGCTTAGATTAAGCAAATAACAAATAATTATTGCATAAAATAATTTGAGGCAATGGAGAAATGAATACAAAGTGTAAATGTGAAAGAAAAACCCATGAAACCCACTGCTATGGAGTCCATTCTGACTCACAGCGCCCCTAGAGGACAGAGTAGAACTGCCCCATGGGGTTTCCAAGGCTGTTGATCTTTACAGAAGCAAAGCTCAAACCAAACCCACTGCCCTAGAGTTGATTCTGACTCATAGCACCCCTAGGGGACAGAGTAGAACTTCCCCATGGGGTTTCCAAGGCTGTCAATCTTCACAGAAGCAGACTGCCTCATCTTTCTCCTGTGGAGTGCCTAGTGGGTTTGTGAACTGCCAGCTTTTTCGTTAGCAGCTGAATGCTTTAACCACTATACCACCAGAGCTCTTAAATGTCAAAGAGGGCCTGGAAATACAGGTAAAATGGCTGCCAATGGGGAAGAGAGAAAGCAGGCCCCTCTGTAAAATGACGGGAAATAAATATGCAAGAAGAAAAGCAAGAAGCATGCAAAACGGGGTCAAAGCTGAAGTTCCTTTGGCAGCTCGTGCTGAGAGGACCATAAAGTCTCCCCAGGTTTCAGGCCTCTTCTCCACAGGCCTCAGGCCTTTGAAGGGATCTTTCCAAGTAACATCTCGGGGACATGCTTCCTCTCTGACCCAGTGGGCTGTAACTTGTGATGGCCTCCCCATCTGGTTAGCTGTCACTCACCTGTGTACCAAATTCTTGTCCCTTCCCTCACTCCCATCCAGGGCTCTTTCTCTTGCTCCAGTAAGGTAATCACATCTGGCTTAGGAATGGCACATCCTGCTCATGAGAAAAGAAATGCCACATGAAGTAGGGAAGAAAAATAGGATCAAAATGACTTAATTCAGAAGGCATCTGACTGCTAACCAGAAGGCTGGCAGTTCAAACCCAACAGCCACTCTGTGGAAGGAAGACTGGACAATCTACTTCCATAAAGATTTACTGCCTCGGAAACCCAACGGGGGTTGCTATGAGTCGGAATCAACTTGATGGCAGTGAATTTGGTTTTTTTTTTCAGTTTGTAGGTCAAAATAGTGCTTGATAAAGTGAAGAAAAAGGCCACTGAAGGTGGCAAGTAAACAAATAGGCTTTTTGTCCACTTCCATCACTGGAGGATGGAAAAATGCAGGTGCCCATTTCCAACCCACCAATGCTCAAACCATTTCTTTAGACATTGTTGTTGTGTTGTGTTGTGTGCCACTGAGTCAATTCTGACTCATACTGACACTGTACTAGAAGCCCTAGTGGCACAGTGGTTAAAGCACTTGGTTATAAACCTGACGGTTGGTGGTTCAAACTCACCAGCCACTCCACAGGAGAACAATGTAGCAGTCTGCTTCCACAAAGATTTACAGTCCTGGAAACCCTACGAGGAGCTCTTCTCTGTCCTGTAGGGCCGCTATGAGTCGGAACTCACTTGGTGGCTGCGAGGTTGTTTCCTCCCATAGTGACCCTGTAGGACAGAACAGACTCCCCATAGGGCCTCCTAGGCTGTGTCCTCACAGAAGCAGATCTCCGAGTCTTCTCTCCCAGAGTGGCTGGTAGTGCCAACTGCTGACCTTCCAGTTAGCAGCCAAGCGCTTAACTGTTACATTACCAGGGGGCACAAATTCAGCGCGTTTCTTCAGATGGAGCTCTGATATTCAACATTGAAGAGAGCTGATATTCCAGAGAATATATTTCAAATTATTCCAGGCAGATGGCCTTACCCAGTGAGACCAGGTGGCTGTAGTTCTCCAACATCACGTCCCTGTACAAGTCCCTCTGAGCAGGGTCCAGACATTCCCACTCATCCTGAGAGAGGTCTATGGCCACATCCCTGAATGCCAGTGACACCTGAAATGACAAATCCATGTATTTTTTTTATTGTGTTGAAAATATATATTACAAAACATATACCATCAACAATTCCTGCGTGTGCAATTCAGTGATGAGTATAGTCGTCAAGTTGCAACTGTTCTTGTTATCCTTTTGTAAGTCATTCCACCACCATTAACTAAACTCAATGCCTGCTAAGCCCCCTTTCCCACACCACTATTCCTGGTAACTGCTAATAATCTTTGGTTTCTGTATATCTGCTTATTTCATATTAGGGAGATTATACAGTATTTGTCCCTTTGTAGTTGATTTATTTATTCTGCATGATGTTTTCAAGGTTCACCCATGTTGTGGCATGCACCAGGACTTCATTTCTCTTTATGGCTGGTTAGTAGTCCATTGTGTATAGAGACAACATTTTTCTTATCCATTCATCTGCTAATGGACATTTCAGTTGTTTTCAGCTTTCGGCTATTGTGAAAAGTGCCGCAATGACCATTGATGTTCTGGTTTCTGTTTGTGTTCCTGCCTTCACTTTTTCTGGGTGTATTCCTAGGTCATATGGTAGTTCTATGTTCAACATTTCAAGGAGTCACCAAACTGTTTTCCACAATGGCTGCACCATTTTACATTCCCACCAGTAATGGATGAGCATTCCAGTTTCTCCGCAACCTCACCAACACCATTGTTTTCTGTTTTTCAATCACTGCCATTCTAATGGGGGTGAGGTAGCATCTCATTGTGGTTTTGATTTGCATCTCCCTAATGTCTAATGATGTTGAGCATCTTTTCATGTGCTTTTTGGCCATCTGAATAGCCTCTTTGGTAAAATGTCTTTAAATCTTCTGCCCAGTTTTTGCTTGGGTTGTTTGACTTTCTGTTGTTAAGCCATAAAACTTGTGTATTATTAAGAAGAATGTTTTAAAATTCACTTTCAAGATGGAAAATTGTTTTGCAGGAAGGAGGCAACAGAGCAAGTAAGTGAGCTGGGGTTCAAGCCTGTGACTTGTAGGGAAGGGTAAGAAAATTCGTATTTTTGAAACAGAGGGCCTGTATAGTTTTAAAGAACACTGTTGGTACAGATAAAATATCCTGTACACTATGGGATAACATAATATCAAGGGTCTAGGAACAAACAAAATAATCAAAGCTTCTCAATTACATGAAATAGCTTAAATAAATACACTGCCTATTATGTGCCTGCATTTTAAGTTCTGAACAAATATGAGTTCTGGTATCTTCTTCTCCTTTCAAGGAGAAAAAGGATAAATGTATTTTTCCCCCCTTAAAAGTAAAGTCTACCTCTTAGAAAATAAGACTTGAATGAAATTACATAATTTTACCAAAACTCAGGTTCATGATTATGCAAGATTATATGATAAACATCTTTCCTTGTTTGTAACAAATGACAAAATGTTTAGTTAATATATTTATTGGCTGGCTAACTAATTGTCTATCTCATAAATATATCAGACTTATCCTTCTTTTATTTTTTTATGTTGGACAAAATGTCTAGTATCTTCTGAAATCCTGAGTCTACGTTCATCCACTGCTAGGGATCTGAAGGATCCCTCATGAACACTTGCCTTGTTCCTGAGGTGGGAGTGCTGATGTAGGATGATCCATAATGACACTGATGTCACTGGAGACCAACACAACCTCCTTAATCACAAAATTGACTTTTTCTTATTGTTCATCCCTCAGGGACTCCCCCTGTCCAGAATCCCTGAAGTCCCCATATGCAGGTCCCAATCACTCCAATCCAGTTCTATATGCTTCTCAAGGTATGAGATCTCACCATGGGCAGAGCATTCAACACTACATTTCATCTTATCATCATGCTAAATTCAGTTTTGAGGAGGGGAAAGCTTCACGATGAGTCTAATGAAACCACCATCTCTAGGCCATGGGATCAAGACCAACAAGAGAGTGAGGGCTTTCACCTTCCACTGCTCCATCAACTCTCCTGAGAAAAGACTGGGCACAAAAGATAACGCCGAGAGGAGTACAAGAGTCACAGGCAACAGAGATAAATGCTAATTCAACACATTCCCACAATAACAGAAAGAAAAAAAGAGAAGGAAGACCTGGGCACGTGCAACATGGTGAATGATAACTAGGTGAGCACAGGTAAGAGAACAGAGATACAAGTGAGGAGGACACCAGGCTGTTTGGTGCCATTCATCACTGTCATGGGAGTAACTTGGGAGCAGGTTCAGTATAGGGTTCTCTTAGGAAGGAAATCCCAGGATAAGAAAAACAATCACAGGAATTCAAAACAACATTTCAAGAGTGAGAAATAAACTTACGTGGGCCATGGTTTCAGAACTGCAAGAACCTGTCAGTCCTCCTTGGGCTTCCTCTACTGGAGAAGCACAGAGTCCAGGGCTGGGAGAGGAAGAAGACGCTTTGATAACAGGTATGTCCCAGAATTCCCAAAATGACTTAAATTAATATAATCCCATTTTTTCCGCTTTATTTGTACTTCCAACACCATCGCTCCCCACACACAAATCAAGAGAGACAAGAGGGAGTCTAGCTAAAGTCCTCCCTTGCTACAGGTAACCAGCTGCACAGGTGTAGTTCCAGAGCAGAGGCTTCCTGCACTGAAGTTAGGTCAGGCACTCTAGCAAGAGGGTCTCTGGCTCACCCCAATTTGTGATGATGCTGACCTGTAGCTGAGACTGAACTGTTGAGTCCTGCCCTGAGCGGAAACTTCTTCCCTTCATGCCCCTCCTTCTAGGCTACCCCATCCAAACTAAGATATAATTCATGACTTGGGCATATCCCAGGCTGAAATGGATGGGTTTTGGGCATTTTGAATCAGACAACCATATGATCTACTATGCCAGGAATGACAAACTGAAGAGGAATGGTGTGGCATTCATCATCACAAAGGATGTTTCAAGGTCTGCCCTGAAGTACAATGCTGTCAGTGATAGGATAATATCCATACACCTACAGGGAAGACCAGTTAATGCTACTATTATTCAAATTTTTGCACCAACCACAAAAGCCAAAGATTGGGAAATTGAAGATTTTTACTAGCTTTTGCAGTCTGAAATTGACCAAACATGCCTCACTGCTGACTGGAACACAGAAGTTGGAAACAATGCAGAATCACCAGTAGTTGGAAAATATGACCTTGTTGATAAAAATAAAGCTGGAGATCTCATGACAGAATTTTGTAAGACCAACAACTTATTCACTTCAAATACATTTTTTCAACAACATAAACAGCGGCTATACATGTGGACTTCACCAGATGGAGTACACAGGAATCAGATTGACTGTATCCACGGCAAGAGGTAATGGAGGAGCTCAATATCTTCAGCCAAAACAAGGCCTAGAGCTGATTGTGGAACAGACCATCAACTGCTCATTTGCAAGTTCAAGTTGAAACTGAAGACAATTAAAAGAAGTCCACGAGAGCCAAAATATGTCCTTGAATATATCCCTCCTGAATTTACAGACCATCTAAAGACCAGATTTGATGCATTGAACACCAGTGACCAAAAACCAGAGGAATTGTGGGATGACATCAAGAACATCATCCAGGAAGACAGCAAAAAGTCATTAAAAAGACAGGAAAGGAAGAGAAGACCAAAATGGATGTCAGAAGAGACTCTGAAACTTGCCCTTGAAAGGAGAGTAGCTAAAGCAAATGGAAGAACTGACAAGATAAAAGAGCTGAACAGAAGATTTCAAAGAGTGGCTCAAGAAGACAAAGTCAATTATTATAATGAAATGCAAAAAGACTTGGAGTTAGAAAACCAAAAGGGAAGAACACGCTCGGCATTTCTCAAGCTGAAAGAACTAAGGAAAAAATTTAAGCCTCAGGTTGCAATATTGAAAGATTCCTTGGGCAATATGTTGAATGATGCAGGAAACATCAAAAGAAGATAGAAGGAATACACAGAGTCACTATACCAAAAAGAATTGGTAGATGATCATCCATTTCAGGAGGTGGTATATTATCAAGAACCAATGGTAGAGAAGGAAGAGGTTGAAGCTGCACTAAAGGAATTGACAAAAAACAGGCTCCAGGAATTGACGGAACACCCATTGAGATGTTTCACCAAATGGATGCCATGCTGAAGGCACTCACTCAGCTATGCCAAGAGATTTGGAAGGCAGCTACCTGACCAACCAACTGGAAGAGAATCATATTTGTACCCATTCCAAAGAAAGGTGATCCCACAAAATGTGGAAATTATTGAACAGTATCATTAATACCACACCCAAGTAAAATCTTACTGAAGATAATTATAAGATGGTTACAGCAGTATATTAACAGAGAACTTCCAGAAACACAAGCTGGATTTGAACGGGACATGGAGTGAGGGATATCACAGATGATTGCAGATGGATCTTGGCTTAAAGCAAAGAATACCGGAAAGATGTTTACTTCTGTTTTGTTGGCTAGGCAAAGGCATTCAATTGTGTGGATAACAAATTGTGGGTAACATTGAGAAAAACAAGAATTCCAGAACACTTAATTGTACTCATAAGGAATCTGGACAAAGACCAGAAGGCTATTGTTTGAACAGAACAAGGGGATACTGCATGGTTTAAAATCAGGAAGGGAGTGTGTCAGGGTTGTATCCTTTCACCATACCTACTCAATCTGTATGCTGAGCAAATAATCCAAGAAGCCGGACTATATGAAGAAGAATGTGGCATCAGTACTGGAGGAAGGCTCATTAACAACCTGAGATATGCAGATGACACAACTTTGCTTGCTGAAAGTGAGGATGACTTGAAGCACTAACTGATCAACATTAAAGACTACAGTCTGCAGTATGGATTACATACACCTCAGTATAAAGAAAACAAAAATCTTCAAAACTGGACCAATAAGCAGCATCATGATAAATGGAGAAAAGACTGAAGTTGTCAAAGACTTCATATTACTTGGTTCTACAATCAGCACCAATGGAAGCAGTAGTCAAGACATCAAAAGACGTGTTGCATTGGGCAAATTTGCTGCAAAAGACCTCTTTCAAGTGCTGAAGAGCAAAGATATCTCCTTGAAG